CACTTCCTCCGCCCCCGCTTGCCATTTGATGAAACAATAAATACGCATCCTTGGAAACTTCCGGCGTACCAGTGGGCGTATGCGCAATGCCCAATCATCTTTACGCAAAAATTTCAAAGAAAATAATGAAAGCCTACCTTAGGCAATTAGTGTAAGTCTTAGATTAAAATTTTGATTTTCGCGATGGGATTATTAATGAAAATCTCAAAATTTAAAGAGTTGGTATTCTTTAACTTTTTCAGAAGCAACTTGATAACTTTTTGGGCTTAGCTTTGCTGTTCAAATGGTTTCAAGACTTCAACTGCAGACCAAACCAAGCTCCATGTCCCGTGGCAAACAATTTTGACATTTGACTAATGCGGGACATTAGTTCTGCCAAAAATGTCTTAATTTAGCGTTAACGGTGCTCCGAACATTTCCTCAAAGGTGGAAAGAAGAGGTGGGTGGAACCTGCATGCCGAATTTATTTTGGCGGCAACTTCGCGCTCGAAGTTTGCAGGAGCTTTATCTGCTAAAAATTTGTCACAGCAAATAAAAAGTTTTGCTTTTCGCCTTGGCCCTTGTTCCTTTAGTTTTTCCCTATTTGTTTTTTAATCCACCAAGCAAGAAATAAAGATAAAAAACTTAAGCTAAAATAAGTTTCTATAAAAGTGTGCAAAAAGAAAAAAACGAGGAAAAGGAAGAATACCAAAAAAACCAGCAATGAAGAATTTTGAAGTGCAGCTAAGTGCAGCAATAATAAAATAACAGAAAAGCAATTAAAAGCCAGCTGCTGGTGATTTGCCGGATTAGAGCCAACTTGACCAAGGGCAGAGGCGACATTGTCTCGCTGAATGCCGCGATAACCTTGAGAAAGGATTTTGGGGCAGGGACAGAAGCATGACCAAATGGCACAGCTCAGAGTTGGACAATTATAGTATTATTTAATTGCTCGGACAATGTAGGAAACGGAATGGACTTGGTCGCAGCTTCAGGGGATTTTCGGTGATAAAAATATTATGTCAAAGTTGAGTAAGATAATAACTTAGGTGTATGCCAACGAAATTCTTCAAGTGGATTGGAATTACATTTTACGCACTTTTGGCGGGAGTGACAACCAAACTAATTATGCAGTGTTTTGAAAAGCTACTTCACCAGCAATTTGAGGTATGCCAATCCAAAATCGGACTCTATTTAAAAAAGTTATGTGCTATTAAGTGCCGACTTTTTTCAAAAAGTCTTCTTTTAAGATATTTATTATTTCTATATTTTTTTCTTTACTGAAACTTTTAAATTTTTAAAAATAGGGATTTATTAAGACTCTCCCTGATGAACTTTAAATTAAAGTGGACACATTTTCCTTCAGCGATGGGGCTGCTGTCGTTGGCCAAGTTGTTGACAGCCAACTCGATATTTTCCACCAACTATGTTCAGGTGCCGGAAAGTGCAGCGCTTCAATATTCATCTGTCGACTATTTGCGTCGCGTAGATGGCGAAATTTTGCCGCTCTGCTTATTGGTCTCGCTGTTCTTGTTGGCTAACAAAACTTTGGCCCACAAAACCGCACACTCATACGTGTGCACAAACACACACGAAATTGCACGCCCACAAACACAGAGCCAACTGCATAGACATCGCTTTTGCATTCATGGGGCATATGTTCCAACTCCCGATTTAGTTTTCGTTTTACGGTTTGAAGTTGCACATTAAAAGCATTTCTGGCAGATAAATGGAGCATGAGCGAGCGGGACAAATTCAGATAGACAGACAGAGATAGCAGCAATGGAGTCTGCATTGGAATAACTACCGACCCCCAAAAAGTCCGTGTCCCCTTGTCACTGATAAAGTTTTTGTTTTTGCCCTGCTGGTGGAATTATATTATAATTTCAACTGTGAGTACTACTCATGCAAATAACTCAAATTAAAGTTTTTATGCCTATGGGGCACGCCCACACACACACACAAGGACAAGCCGGAAACCGCCATCTTGTTTTTAGTTTTTGGATAAAAGTTGCGAGCACGCACAAGACGAGCAGACAAACATGGCCAAAAGGCTTAAAGAAATTCTTGGTTATAACTGGGTGAAGCACTATGCGACAAAATTTATATCCAGTTTGAAAAATATACATAAAATATTTTATTGACAGTATCTCCTTTTCAATCAAATTTAATAGCAAACAGTTATGGCAAATACACAATTTTATTGGTAGAATAGTTTTCTAATCTACAGTAAAATTTGTTTTTGGTTTTACACATGTAATTTTGCACATTAATTAGACCGAGTAAACAGCGATTTTTGATAAGCAAACAAATTAAGTAAGTATTAGCAAACAACACAGATGATTTACACTGCAAGGCGATTTGGGCCATTTAACGGATTATTAAATTTGATAGCTGCCAATACCTGTTCATGCCACCAACTCATTAGCATGGTGTTGCAGTAATTACAGAGCTCTGCGGCGCATCCCATTATCACCTCGTACGACGAACAATTACGCCAGTAAGTGTGCATTTAAACTATTGCGAAAGTGGGCTCCGTTCTTGCGGCGCCTTTGGCGAGCCTCGTCAGCACTTCTTTTCGGACGGCAGCATCAATAACGAGAAAGTTTTAGCCAGCAACCAAGGAGCACCGACCACAACAGCAGCACACCCAGCTCAAAAATTATGGCCACACTTTCGTTTTTACCAAAGAACTGCGGCAGAAGGGTGGACAATGCCCCAGTGAGATAAGAAAAGTGTGTAAGGAAAGTGCACTGAGAAAAATTATACCGACTGCGGGTGTAAAATTTAAATAACAATAAACTTAATACTATTTTTCTGAAAGCATAACAAATGAACTCATTGTTTTATGATCAAATGCTGAAATTAAATTAGTGCAACCTAAGTAATGAAATATTTTTTTGTAAGTGATCGCAGCTTAGCAGTGCTGCTGATAGACCAAAAGAAAGGATTAAAATTGCTTTTCCCAATTCTATACAAATGTATACGTTTCTTTAAAAGCACTTCTTATGGAAAAGTACAAAAATTTAAGAAATTTATTTTACAAAAACACAGAGAACTACATTTTGATCGGGCAAAAAATGGACATAATGGCAGCACTGGGCTGCTGCATTGTTGAAATGCAGCCAAGCCGCAACTATGTGGCCGCCCATAAAGTTGAGCCGTCACCAGAGGCAGGTCCCCTCGCCGGGCTGCGAAAGTTTTTTAGGGCCAGCTTGTGTTTATAAGATGGCCAAGTAGCAGCGGACCGAACGGCTATCAGTTGGCGAGAACTTTACTGCTTACGTTCATCATATTTGCGCGAGAGTTTCGCTGAGGCAACTTTGCAGGCAGCCCAGAGACCAGATAGCAGAATCTATATGGTATATGGCTATGTAGCTATAAGGCGTTGGTGGGAGTGTGCGGCTGCCGAAACAAACTGCAGCGAGTGGCGAGCTGTCAGCTGCAAGGCTCCGGGCGGCAGGCACTTGAGACTTCTTTTGAAAATTGTCCAACAAGAAGGCCCGGACGGCCGTTCAGGCCAACCTGCACCTCAAACTCCGGGCCATCGCCCCAAAGGACGTTGCAACAACTGACTGATAAATGTCGCTGCCGAGGCAGCAAATACGACTGAGGACATTTCCTTATTTCCTGCCGTTGTCCGCCGTCCGGCTGCCCGACTTTTGCTACAGGAAACTTTTAGACCAAAAGGAAACCCAGAGCAGCGGAAGGCATTCTGGGGAGGGTCCTTTTTTATGCAAGTCATAGAAATTTACAAGCCCCAGTGACAAGGACGTTTAGTTTATGGACGCGCAGCGGCTGCAGTGCTGACAGCCTGGCCATGTCCTTTTCTTGGGATTAACAGTTGCAACAGTCTTCTTCGATATCCGAATTTTAATACTTGATAATCAGCACAAAAAAAAATTTCATGTTAATTTTATTAAATTTATACAACTACTACCCAACTACTTAGTAAACTGAAAATAAATATCCTTTTTTTTTCTTTTAGATCATCCCCTTAGCGGCATCACTGGCATCGAGCGTGGGACATTTTGCTGTTGGAAACTTTGTTACATTGGCATATGCAATTGGGTTTGCTGCACATCCTGTCGACAGCTTGGACTTGCCAAAGTTTTTGCCACTGTTAAATGTTTTCTACGTTTTTATGTCTTCGCCAACGTTTTTCGGGGCGGTTTCAGGCCGAGTTGGGCAGGCAAAGTTTTTAATGAATTTTATAGCAGGCGGTGTTATGTTGGGCGATTGTGTGACGACGACGATTCAATCCGAAGCCGGGTCTTACGAAACAGGGTTCCCCGATAAGGAGGGGAAGGCCAAAGGTGCTGGCGGGCAGGCCAATCAAGCTAATCGCGGACGGGCTGAGATAGACAGACACACATACAATACTTACAATATATACAATACATATACATATAGTACGACGATCCGACAGACAAACCGCTTTGACTTTGATGTGCTGTCGCTATCGTTGAGCTGTTGTGGTTCTTATTGTTGTTGCTGTTGTTACTTTTGCTGGTGTCGGCATGGGCATTAAATGCAGCACATTAAAGCCGCAGGAGCCATCGCCGCTGACAGGCCGACAAGCGTTGAGTCAATTACATGGTAATAAACTAATGGGCAACGTGCCCGCCTGGCGACGACGTCATTCACCATCATCATCAGCATCAGAGCTCATCAGTTTTGGTCCTCACTCAGGCCCGTTTAACTTCAACACTTGTTGAACTTCCCATGACCACCGCATAAAGCCAAACGTAATTGGCCCAAAGTGATGTTGATTCGAAAATGGCATTTGCTTAAAGGTTGCAAACACCGCGAATTGCTTTGAATTAAAAGCTTAGGAAGGAGTAATTGTCCCAATATTATTGCAAAAATTAAAATTTTTAATAGCTGGATTTCAATTTTTAGTACTCAAATTACTAAACAAAATTTGATCGTTAAAAAACGGAACTTGCAGCTTTACAAATTTTTTCGCACACCTTTCTTCACTTATTATTCTCATTGAAAAATATAAACATAGCTAAACGTCAGATCGATAAATTTAATAAGAGTAAATTTATACATTGCACATTGACCTTAACATTTCAATTAGGTCTTAAACTCGATGAGATCCTTACGCGTGGACGCACTTGTTAATATTGAGGCTGTAGGTTGATCCGGGGGGACAGGATCCGTGGATAGGACGCTGCTGGACGCACCGACTGCTCTCAGCATTAAATCCCGAAGGACATACGCTGCCCGCCAGGGTTCCCGCCATCAAGGACAAAACCAAAAGCAGAAGCCAGGTGCATTTCAGAAGCATGATTAAAGATTGTATCCTTTTTGTTTTCTATACTCAAAAGAAGCACCTTAGTGCAAAATTAAATACAGGCAGCCTCAACTCACCTCAGACAAACTCAAAATGCAACTATTGCAAGAGATGCAACTGAAACGGATCTTTTATACCGCAGCTAATCAATAATTCATCCGACCTTGGTCTACTTCCACTGATTTGAACTAGTAAAAGGCGAATTGATAAGAACAACTTGAAAACACCTCGCTGATAACAAGCTAGGCAAAACAGTTTGTTTTGAAATTGTTTTAAATGAATTAAATCACATTATTTGATTAGTTTTTTCTATATTTATTTAGTTTTTGTAGACACACTTGTTAATTTTGGCACTGTATTGGGATCCATGAGGGCATTCTCCACGAATAGTGCGCTGTGCAGTGCACTTGCCACCTTCCGAGTTGAATGGAGCTGGGCACCTATTGGCCGAAACAGCCACGGCGAAGATGGCCAAGATGAAGAAGGCGAGCCAGGAGAAGTTCATGTCGACTGCAAGTTAAATAAGAGATATCTATGAAAAATACTGACAAACCGCAATGTAAATAAATGGAAACAGATAATTGAACTGTGATTAATTTTTAATATAATCGAATATATAGACAATATGTAGGTATTATTGAATGGTTAATGCTAGTTGCTTGATTTCACAGACTTATTTTTGTTTAACATTTTAGTAAAATATTTAACTAGCTAAATAAGGCTCTTTTAAAAATTCTTGTTGATCACTTAAATGAATCCGACTAGTATAGCCTTTTTGTAGCTACTAGAACCACTTACTTTCTTGCCTTCACTTTGCAGATGAGCAACTAAATATTTCGGCAGCCGTCTGCTGGTTTTATAGCTGCCGACGAATACATTTTGGAGCCTCTATCTCTTCGGTTGCGAACCTTTGACACAATTAGTGGCGTTTAAAGCGGCGCCGATAAGGAGCGGCCAGATGGAAGGCGCAGCGAAGGCTTGACACATGTGGTCCGCTGGATGCCTATCTTCATCAACAAAAGGAAGCGGGCAACAATTCACGGGAGATCCGTGCAACAAAGGGCATTTGCGTGGGGTCGACCGAGCGCCGAAGTAGGCGTGAAAAAGCTGCGATGCCGATGACGATGTCGTTGGCAACGTCGAATGGAAACAGAAAAATTCCGAATGAAGCACAACTGACATGAAATTGTCGAGGGAACAGGTGAAGCAGGAGCCGGTGGCACTTTCGGCATTGTCCAGGTCCAACAATGGACGCGAGGATTGGGATCGGGGCCGCCTGTCAGCTGCAGGAGCACAATGGGCAGCACGGCAGCTCTCCAGCGCTTTTGTGCGTTCAACATACGTCATTCATATACAATTACGGTTGCAATTTTCGATAGTTGCAAATGTGGGTGCAAAAAGTGCAGTGAACGAAAGCGTTGAGAGCATTCGCTTTCTTTATGGATGCGACACTGGATGCCAGAACTGCTCGCTGAACACTTTTGAAAGGTATTTGGTAAATTTAAATTGAAAATATTGCTTCTGAAATATTTTTATGGCGATAACTGTAGGATTTAAATATCATTTGTTTACAAACACAAGCACTAGCTCATAAAGATTGTAAATCCCAAACAATGTTATCAACAGATTTTTATATAAATAAAAAAAACAATGTGGTTTAAAGATCTAACACCAAAGCTCAAGTCAAACAATTCAAACTATTAAATATATTTAAACTTTTAATCAGTGTGATTTGTTTTGTATGCTAATTCTCTAGTATTTAACTCGAGGCAGCAGCCTTTGCTCAAAGCCAAGCTCAGATTATCAGCAGAAACAATTAAATATAGAACTGGGTTTTTCCTGGTTTTTGATTTCGTTCGGGGCGTAAATCAAATGCTAACGAGCCATAAACTTTCATCGTCAGACAAGAGGCAAGAGCTCGGAACTTGTGTGTAAATAGTTTGCATGTGATGGACGACAAACTGTTTTCGAAGGTGGCCACTTCAGGCGAAAAGAATCGAACGTGGAGCGTATATAGTGCGTCATAATTCACTCAGCACTCGACTCTGTTCGATATATATGGTTGCGTGTCGAAGGCGACTTCTTCACTTGGCCAAGTTGTCGGGCTTTTGGGGTTTTAGGGTTTTTGGGCTTAAGGTGGCTTGCTGTCGACTGTCGACTGTCGGTTTTGTCCAGTTGGTCATGCCTTTGGCTTTGAATTATTGATGGGCGTATTAAGAAGATTAATGTGATGAGCTATGGGCCAAGGAGAGTTTTGTCGTTGCCTGTTGTCGTTGGTCATGTTAATGTCTTCATTGTCGGCTGGCAGCTTTACCTTTACCGTTAGCCAACCCCCTGATTGTGTATTGATGTGTGCGTTTTTCTGTGGCTTGGGTGTGAGTGAGTTGGTGTGTGTGGGCGAATCACTTCGATTGAGCAGCACAGCAAAAGAGCAATAACGTTCATCACTCTAACTTCCCGGGATATTTCCTCCTTTGGGGCCCGAGGTCGATTGGTCATTTTGTTATACCTCTCAATTCGGAGAGCTGCTTTTTTGGTTGCATTGCGCGTCTATAAGCCATTTTTCTTCCTACCTCACATAAGTTTTAAGCTGCGTGTAATTTATTTTTATAGCCATGTTGCCGACGTAAAGATTGCAAATATGTAGTTGACCAAGCCTCGGGTTTCGCTAGAGCGTTAAAGGAATCACTATATAAGGGTGTCAAGATTTCTCCAATTTAGGGTACACAATATGTACTAAAATGTTGGATTTAAAGCTGTGAAGGTTTTAAGTCAGAATTGGTTTTTATACCCCTACAAAGTTTCGAAACCTAGCTGATTTTAAGCTGCGTTTCTGATAACTTCAATCGAAAGTAGGTAAATTTGGTATTTAGCTCTTAACCACTGCTTATGCCGGTCGGCTTTTTCCGCTCAGTGGGTCCAGCGTTAACCTCAAACATTGACTTTGGTAAAATTGTGGCACGCCAAGCACATTTTGAAGCTCATCAGTAATACAGTTACACAACGCTGAGGGGACGAGGCAATAAGTCGAGGACTCCGCTGGGGCAGAGTCAAAGCCAAAACCGAAACCAATGTTGATTTTATTGCTTGCCGCAATGTTTTTAACTTTTGCAGGAGCCACGCCACCGCCGCCACCACTGTTGCCACTAGTTGTACACAATGAGAAAACGTAAAAAAAACGAATAAAAATGTTCTTGATTATTGAGAACAAAACAACTTTATTTGCTTTCCATTTAAATCAAATTTATTTTTACAACAGCTTGTAAATAAAACTTTTCATTGTGTCAGCTTTCAATTAAATGTTACTCAGTTTCAAAATGTAATTGCCATTACATCATGCTTTTTATGCTTAAATTAATTTAATTTATTTAAATGAAGTATTTCCATTGTAACTTTCAGATTTTTTTCTCTGCGTGCCTTAAGAAGTTCCCCTGGGTGTAGGCAACTGTCGCGTTGCATGTTGCTGCTATTACTGCAGCACAGCTCTGCACAGCATTTAACCACTCGGGCAACAAGGCGGCCAGGCCAAAACAGCCAACAGGCAGCAGCCAAGCTGCCAGACAGCCGGGCCAAAAGCTGAGCCATGCGATGGCAAAACGTGCTGAGTTTTCGTAATTAGTGCACAAGAGTGCAGCCCGATGGCCACGTGCAGGGGTTTCCGGGTGGTGAGAGAGGGGGAGACGAGGGGGGAAATCGGGGTGCACGGGGAATTGGAGGACCCAAAACACTCTCCAGTCGCCGGAGCACGTTTATGTGGGGCTTCCTTTTCGGCCTTTTAGAGTGTGACATGGCAATGGCAATGCCTGCGTCATCTATCGCCTTCCTTCTTGTGCGAGGAGTTTTTCCTCTGCAGTTGGCTTAAGTAAGTTGTTAGTGGCTGGTGGCTGGTCGCATTGCCTCCGCGTTTGACACTCAAGTTGTCGCCTTTAAGCCACTGCCTGTGGATATGTAATAAGGGATATTAAAGGAAGAATATGAAACAGAACTAAAATTAAGGCAGGTTATTTAAGTAATTATTTAGTAACGTCATTTAATTCTGTTTGGCTTAGTTTCAGAGTTTGTATGAAATAATTTCCTTTCCTTATAAGGAAAATATTTCCATTTCAAGATGACCACAAGACAAACAAACCGCCTATAGCTTATCGTATATGTTTTCCTCTTTGGCAATCAATAGATACAAATAAAATCAGTGTTATAGTTTTGAAACTTTTCAGGATCGCCCTTTATGTCTGCCAGTTCGTTTTTTGTGGCCCCACGCTAACGACATTGGCAGGCAGCAAACAGTTTTCAGCTGCCATGGCCTTAATTTTACTGATTATGGCAGCAACCAGGCAAACTTTTGGCCATTAAAAAAGATTCGTTTTAATGAGTTTGGCAGACAAGGCAACAAGGTTCCCGGCCACAGCCTCCCATCGCCCCATTTGCACCCTCTCGATTGCCGCTGTTCCCCTTATCGGGGGAAAACTGTCGCTGTTTATCTTTTGCCGGCTGGCAGTCAAAATGCAGCCAAGGTCTGCCCTGAACTGGACCCCCGATGCATGTGCATATATATATGTTAATATATATATGAACACTTAAAATAAAAATACTATGATTTAAAAAAAAAAATAATAGATTATGGTATTGGGTTTTTATCAAAGATTTTCAAGAGTTTCAAAAACTATTAATTCTTTGTATTGATCTTATAGTTTACTTTATTCCCTGTTTTATGTGTGGGTTAAATTTCTTCTCAGAGTGCATCAGAAATCTGCATTTTAGTGCAATTAACATTTGGGATGGACGCATCGTGGTGGGATGGGGCATGTGGCAGAAGCAGCGGTATTGTCCGTTCCATAAATCAGCATAAATTGAGTGCGCAAATAAAGTAATTGTCCTTTTCGCCGTTTAAGGCTGCTTAATTTCTGGGCCAACACCCGCAGACAAGTAAGACTTTTACCTGACCGTATTCGAGGAGTAATTTAAGTGACCGAAGTGGAGGGCGCTATAAAATCACTTGTTCTGCTAATTGAAAGCCCGGCAAAATTAAAGAGTCGCCTCCTTGCGGGGGAAAGGCACAAAAAAAACTTTCTCGTTCACTGGACTTTTTCTGCCTGATTGACAGCTGTCATGGCGATAACCGCACTGGGACTTGTTTCTGGACTCCTTTTTTTCACTCGGCTGGGTTTTTTCCTGCATAAAATGCAGATGCAACTGGCGCACTCCTCATTTTCTCACTGGCGCAAAACTCTAGCGTCGGCGGAGCTTGTGTAATTTCAATATTTCACAATAAATCGCAACGCCGCCAACGCAACTCGACGGACTTTCTCCATCTCCAGTTGGCCTCGCATTCGCATAACGGTTTGACAATTTGCAATGCGCCTGCGCCGCCTGTCACTCCAATTCAGCATCTCAGGATTGGGATCGGGATCGGAGTCTCAGGATCGTCCCATGAAAAATGCATAAGTGACGAAAAAGTAAGAAACCAACAATGGAACTCAAAACGCCGCGTTCGGTCAGAAAAAGATACTGCTGACCGATTTGACCGTATATGGACTTGTTTACTCCTTATGTTTATTAGTCCAAGTCCACTGCAGTGCAGTTCGTTTTCAGTTCGAACGCCTACTGACCGAGTGACTGCCTTTTTCAGCACCTCCTTCTCCACATCGAACCCACCCATCGTCGGTCGATGGGAAAGAAACCACAATGGAGCAGGTTATTGGTCATCGTCTGGGGTTTTTTCAAGTGAAATTAAGTCATTTTTCAATGCATTGTAAAGGAGAGCGTGTGGCAAGTAAGTGGGAGGGTTGTAAAAAGTAAAGAGGTGAAGGCAAAAATGTA